TTTCGAAAGGGAAAAATAATGATTTGCATGAAGAGTAATGAGATGAAGAATAATGATGTGTATTTGAAGAAAAAATATTAGATTAATGGGAGGTGTTGAGAAGCTTGTCTGAGTTTTTCTCGGAACAATTCTTGGCACTTTGCATAGGGTATATGAGCATGAATTATTCATTTTCCCTTTTGAGAACGGTGGAGCTTTGTTGTATTCACCCTCGGTCACCCAGTCAACATCAACCTCTATGGGGATACAGCGCCATCTTGTAGAAGTGAAAAACCTCTTAGACTCGTGAACCTGTCATGTATCAGCTGGATCCAACTGTCCCTTAAAAATGTAAAGGCACAGGCCATTACCTCACTTGAGGTGGAATGCTCCACCTCCAAGCACCTTTTATTCACCTCTAAATGGGCATTACACAGTTTAGGCAGGGGTGCTAAAAAAAAGCTGACAACCATTTTAACACCTTGTAACTGTCAAATATCGATCAAGTATCCAAAGTTATTTTTTTCTAAATTTATGAAACTGTGTTTCTCCCATTCAAACCGGAAGAGCGTTTTTTTTACCACCTTTTACAATGTGGGCCAAAAAAAAAAAAAAACTTTGGAAAGTTGTCAATTTGATTGTATGCGGCAGATTTTGATTATATTTCGTATACACATCAGGTGACTCAATTAGGGTTTGTGCGTGAAATTTCAGATAAAATTTCCAGAAACTGTGAGATTGGCATTTAATTTACTCTTCATCACCAAAAGTTATTTTTTTATTTCTGCTTAAAAAGTCTCACAACTGACAAAAGCAAACAAGCAAACAAACAGAACAAAAAAGGTGCAAAAGTGCCAAACACGGAAACGCACAATTTGGTTTCGGGACGTACATTTCAACTGAAAAGCCGCTCATTGTGCCCTCCATTCTGTTGAACGCAAGCCTCTAGACTGGAACACTACAAATCAATTGGCTTATTCAATAAACCTTTGAGGCAGTGTCTCCCAATCTTCCTTTGTATCATCATGCGGGATGGAAGGAATTCAGACCTGCCTTTCATCTCGGCCTCAAGGTCATACCGATATTTTCGACAGCACATTTTGTCGTTGGTCAAGAAAAATAATCATAACTACTATATATTCAAAGCCATAGGGCTGGAATTCGGTATAGAAGCTCCTATTGGGTAACTCTAAAAGTGTATCCATTTTAATAAAAATCAGCACCCTACAAAGCGATTGACAACGTAACACGAAAAATACCTATATTTTTTTTAGCCCACCCTGTACGAGGGGAAGCTGTAAAGTTCGCGACTTTTCCTAGAAGAAAACGCAAATTTGGTAAACTGAATCAATTTTATTCAACATAGTCACCCCTCAAATGTACACAGTTGTTACAACGTTCCTGCAATTTTTGCAACCCCCGCAACAAGAACTTCTTAGGTTCGTCCGCAAACCAGATCTCTGCGGCACCAATGTCCTCCTGATCGGAAGCAAATCTCGTCCCCTTCAGGCGTTTCTTCAACGCTGGGAAGAGATAATAATCGGAGGGGGCGAGGTCCGGCGAATAGGCGGGTGGTTCAACAATTCGAACCCCAAATCCTTGATTTTCTGCGTGGTTTGGTGGGCGGTGTGGGCAGGCGCGTTGTCTTGCAGAAAGAGCACCCCCCGACTCAGTTTCCCCCGCCGTTTTTCCTTCAGAGCTTCCCGCAATTCATCTAATAGGGACATGTAGTAGGTGGCGTTGATCCCCTTTCATGAGTTCAAACTGCCGAAGGAAGCAAACTAACGGTCGTACCGGACTCTCACGGCGTGTGCGCTCTAGCGATGACCTCCCCTCCCTACATCTCTCGTGGCGCGGCTTTTGCTCTCTTGCGTCTGGGTAAAGTCGCGAACTTTTCAGCACCCCTTCGTATATGTCTTCCATGGTTTCCCACTCCAAAGACACGCTTTGCCATCCTGTCTGCTTGCACACAAGGTCCTTCATTCTAAACTGTTCCACCCAAAAAAGCGTTTAAGCGCAGATCTGCGAGGGTCCCTTCGTCTCCCCTTCGGGTAAATACGTAATCAGAGACCTGAAATTTTTAAGCTTAGAGACCTAAGCGAACTGCGGGTCAGCCATGGCAGCACCACAACATCCGCGGCTCGGAGCAGCAAAGTTTTGTCGACAATCGCGTTTCGGGTCGGTTGCGGACCACGATTCGAATCGGGCCGATCGAGTTTGAACTCCGTAAAGTCAACCCCTGCTGGCCTCTGACGCCCAGGAAGACAGGAGAACCCATAGAAACCACGTTTGCAGCGTACATTGTGGACTTTTGACCCAATAAGTATCGCCTCCAGGTCATGAGCTTTCGATTGACACCTCAATTATTAAAATCCTTTCATTCGTTTGGGGGGATTCCCAGAATGACACATAGACACACAGACAGTTAAAAGGAATGAGTCCGGGCAGCTAATATCGAAATAAAAACAGCGTACAGCACTGCACACGTTTGATTGGTCAGTCATGGATGACGTCACATTCGAGAGGAGCTAAGAAAAAGAACTCCAGATGGCGCACCCATAGGAACAGTATAGGCATGCGTCCATTGGAAGACTCTAGCCCTGAAAACCTCCTTTAGTTAACGGTCCTTTAAGAATACATGGAATCCTGTGGGAATCCTTACAAGGACCGTTACCTAAAGGAAGTTTCGGCATTCGGGCCTTACTTGTTGGTATCATGCCGGCCCGTCACCATTCACATCTATGGGATTTTCCCGATTTTTCAACTCAAATTTATTCTGAATACTTACACGCAGCAAACAGCCCCGACACAGCAGGCGTAATAGGTCCTCAGAGGAACAAATTGGCCCTATTGAGTCGTTCCAAGACTTCCTTTTATCGTGCATGTGGATCCAATACTTCAGTTTAGGCTATTGGCAGTAAAGGGCGATTGGGAATAGGTCTCAGCAGAATGCCAGGGATTCATGTGCGAAGAGATTCATAGAGTTGAAAGCGGGCCTATGGTGCACATTGGGGGAGTAAAAGAACGTGTACCGCGGGTCATTGGAGCAGCCATACTAAATACGGAAGCACGCCCTACCATGACCCGCTAACACCTCTGCTATGCACCTCGTCGTCGCCCTTAGTCTCCATTAGCCTATGTTTGCCTTTGAACGTTCACTCGAATTTGGCTTGACTTTATGCCTTAGATCTGCTGTAAAATAGGTCGACCGTGATGATACAAGGGCGACGTAACTTTATCGCCTTCGTAGGCTCACAATTAGTTCCATTGGCAGGCCTGGAACGTGAGGCACGCTCAAAAAATTGGGAACTCGCACCTATTAAAGAGGGTGGTGACGTCATCCATGCCTGACCAATCGGACGTGTGCGGTGCTGCACCGCTGAATTATTTCGATATTAGCGTCCGGGAAGGGGCCGGAGACCGATGGTTCTCTCGGAGTAACCCCCCAGGAGTCAGTCGTGCCATTCCACGAGGCTTTATGTTCCTTCGAGACGACTCGAGACGGATAATAAGTCTGGCTTTTTGGGTGACACGCTCCGAATCTGTAAAAGCGAAACTGAAGCATATTAAAAAGCTCATTAAGAAGGTCGTACCCAGGGACCTGGTACAAGACGTAACATATAATAGAAAGATGAAATCAGCCCTTTTCCAGAAACGGATATCCTTACCATCCCCCCCCCCACCTTTTGGCCGATAATTTTCAAAGGTGAGACGCCATTATTAATAACCTGGAACGGAAAACCTTATCGGTTCCATCCGGGAAGATCGGGGTAGAAGAAGGGGTGTAGGAGGATCGGAGAGCAAGAGCAAGAGCAAGAAGAGAGGAGCAGCTTGTAGGATGAGGCGGGGATCAAGTAGAAAATTGTCCCTGGCTTGCTTGTGATACGGTTTTCCTGTGTCCCTAGTGTTGTGTCTCTTGTCCCTTAATTCTTTTCATTCATCATCCTCTTCCTTTTGAACTTTTGAGCAATAACATGAATGCATAATTATTTTTAAATCCTGATGTTGCATTTTCTTTCCTGAGTTTGCTATATCGAACCCAAGATTACCTAATGATGCTACAGTCAGGTGTTTACTAGGGATCTTTCCCTATTCAATACGTGATAAAACTATTCTAAAACCATTCTATCCACAATGTTTCCCTACGGAAATCAGTTTAACAGAGATAAACTCATTCCCATGGACGCGCATTATTACAACGAATCGGTTTAAAGTTAAAAAATAAATCTGGTGCATGTCACCCTTCGTGAATCGTGGCAGGATTCATGCGCCCAAGCTTCCCGAGTCCCGAGGGAGTAGAAGCACGCCGGAGCAGTCTGTTCGCCGCGTCGATCGTTCTTTCCTTACAGACATTTCGGCGAGGAAAGAGCACCTTCCGGCCTTCATTGAAGCGGACATGAGGCCACTGAATGGCCCAGATCGGAACCCCGTTGATCAATTTGTGTGGGGTGCAACGATTATAAAGGTTTACCGCCATCAGATTCCAGATTTCGAGCACCTGAGAGATCAGGAGAATTTGGGCGATGATCCCTGAGGGAGCGTTGTAGAGAGCGGTTGACCGATGGCGCAGAAGATTGATCGGCTGCTATCGTCAACTCAGAGGGTGGAACCAAAGAAAAATTGTTCTAGGGAATGCTAGTAGAGCATTTTTCACAGTTATGAACTTCGATCTTAATTTTTATTTCACTAATGAAGCCCCAAAGTCAGTAGCTTGTTTTTTTTTTAAAGGGTGAAAAGCGCATCTTAAAAAGAATACTCCTTTCACTTTTTTTCGCTTTGGAATTTTTGTGAAGGCGAAAGAGGCGAGGCCGTGAAGAGGTCTCAATTGTTCGCTGGCCGTCACAGGAACCATCGTTGTGGCGAAATCTAGCATTTTAATTCGAATGATTGGGACTCTGATTTTCCTGTCGAGGCCTTCACGGATACATTTACCACGTAATATAGTTTTACGTGGAAATGTGAGAACTCGCGAGGAAGGGACATAACGAAAAAAATTCGAAGACACAGACAAGAGTTGAAACATGGATACGGCCACGGCGGAGTCCGCAGTCAGGTGGTCCACGCAGGTGAGGAAACTGAGTGCAGGACGGGGTAGGTACACTCTGACCGGTGAGACGGACATTCCCGTGGGTCTTCTCGGGAAGATGGAGAGGGGAATCAGTCACTGGAAGGGCTCAATCGTGTAGGGAAGGTGGCGCAGTGACCGATCCTACTCCATCGTGCTTAATTTACTCATTCGCGAAGAAGTACGGCCAATCCACCTCACATATAAGGCATAGCAGACACATGCATTCAACTTCTTCACATCGTCACCATTAACGTTATCGTCACCTTTCTGCAATGGATGTGGAAAAAATACCCGTTTGGCGGAGGAGCATTGACCAACTTTTACACAAAGAAAGACGAACTTGTTCGCGTTACCATGGGCAACGTCTTAGAATCGAAACAAGAATTGCATTGATATCATCGACTGGCACACGTCAACGATGGAAAGGAAGAAAAAAAGTATTTAAATTACACAATTCCGAGCTCCACCTGCTCCTAGGAACACTTGAATTATTAATCAAAGAAAAGCCCTCAATGGACACTTAGGGGGTTCACTAATGGCTCTTCTTTTATAAGGGAAAGGGAAGCTCATTCAAGGACATCTCCAATTTATCTCGAGTAGGGTTTTGCTCACGGTCGATTCACATCAGCTAAGGTGCTGTCATCATCATATACGCGTCTTCCACAGACATTTTCGTCACTTCCCCACGACGAATTCCATCGGAAACTTCGGCAGACGGAGATATTCCAATGCAGGCTTTGAAAAGATCTTCCAGGTGAGTCGGGGGAAAAGGAGTCATCTCACATCCACGCGCGAATTCATATCGTGTTCAGCGTCGGTCTCAATCCTAGAATATGTCCTGAGGAGATGGGGCGACCTTCGGTCGTCATTGAGGGAACCCCGATTCGTCCCTGTGGGGAACTCGGAAATGGTGAGTTTCCCGATTATGGTTCTGTCTTTGTGAGAAGACAAAATCCGTTCTCACTATTGTGCATATCAGTTAAGCGAGTCCCATTTCCAAGAGGTATGTCATTCTCCAGAATCAAGGGCGGTCTGTAAAAAATGCATATCGCATATAACGCGCTCCTAAATATTTATAACATATGCAACTCCTCATATACAATATACAACTCCTCATAATATGAAGGTGGAATGAGCACAATTCAAGGCCAGAGTCTATGGAGCTCAAGGATGTATTTCAGAGCTGCGATTGTCCTCGGTGTGAGCTGTCTGGCCATAATACAGGTATTTTTATATAGAAATAAAACTGGTTAGAATATATGAAAATTAACGATTATTTTGCAATTCCATAGGTTGTTTCACTGATAGAAGAGTACCTGTCGTTTCCAACAAATACCTTGTACAAGGTGAACGTGATGGAAGCGATCCCTGCTCCAGCCATCACCATCTGCCCCAGGAATTCCATCAGCAAGTACGCAGCTGAAACGTCAGAGCGCCACGACGGTGACTCCTTCTGGACGAAACAACTGCCACATCTTTTGCGTGAAATTGAATTTTTCGAGGAGGTCCATCTCGAACTCGATTTCATAATGTCGAATGACTACTACTGGGAAAAGAGTGGGTTCCCGAACGCGATGTAATTATCCCATTTTCCGACAAAATAATTATTCTCTTTTCCGTTTCAGAGGGGAGTTGGACCCGACGGATCTATTTCGGTGCATACGATGAACACTATTACGAATGCTTCACCCTCAACATCAAAGAACCTATGAAGATCGGAAGACAGAGTATCTGCGGAAATGGCGTCACTCGGCTTGGAAACGCTTTCCTCCTGTCTTTCGACCAGATGCAGCAGATTCATCATTCAAACATACCGGAGCTTGAGATCTACATTCACGAAAAAGCTGAACCATATTCGGATCTCCCGATCCACGACGCGTACAAGATTGTGATGAATAATGGTTCCATTGCAGAAGTCCTCATCACTCACAGTGTCATGGAGTTCCAAGACAAACAAGAAGCATCATGCAGCACCGAACCGAACCACAGTTACGTCAAGGTACACACACTTCCATGACCATAAAAATTCCCGTGTAGGTGACAAAGTCCTTCATCTTTTTCTAGTGCATGGAGGAGTGCTTCTTCCAGAAACTGCTTGCTGATAATCAAACGAAATGCGTGGTGGAAGAGATTCTTCCACCATGGAAGAATTTTTCCGTTCTGACTCCCAGATGTGAAGAGAAAGATGAAAAGGAATTCCAGGGCTCACTAAAATATCATGAAAAATACTTGGAGGGATGCAAATGCAAAAGGCGATGCAAAGTATTGCGATACACGATTGACTTTCATCCCACACCAACTTGCGAGGGTCAGGAAGGAAATGCAATCTTATTCTTCACCTTCGTATCCAAGCAGGTTGGTTAAAGCAATTCCTCAGGAAACTAAATCGATCTATGATTGGAGAGTATGTCAAGCTCTTGATTGTTAACGAGTAATTCAAATGGCATACACTTCAATTACCATGTTCATTTGAGGGTAATGCCTGAAGACTTTAGTAATAATACAGGTAGTCGGAAAATCCATTTTGAAATGTGCATCCTCAGAAAAATACTCTCCAACGAGGCCATTTTTACCGGTGCTCTGAACTCTATATGATCCAATAATTTCTAAATATATTTCACTGACATATTTTGAGCTTTCTTAACATTGTAATGACTTTCGCTCTGCTTTCCGTTTATGTAAAAGACCGATCGACTTATGCTCTAGGTGGAAATGTTTACGGAACAGCCAGCCATGTCCATCCTGGGATTGATGTCGAACATCGGAGGCATCGTGGGGATGTGCCTGGGCATCTCCCTCCTCAGTATCTATGACATTCTGGAAGCTTTTGCTCTCACCCTTCATAACCGTGCGAGAAAACCATAGGAATGCATGGGTACAAATTTTCGCACTCATCCTGTCGGTTCTTCTTCATGTTTTGGCATTCATATCGAATTGCCAAAAGCATTTACGTGTCACTAGTGTTAAAGCCCGTGCGCGCACGGGCTGAAATAAGTCGAATGAGAACATTTCGTGCATGATTTTCTGTTCTTTCTTCGTCAATTTCACTGTTTCTGGAAGAAGTCTGCTTAGTTACGTTTTGTGAACTTCGTCAAGCACTTTTATCCACTGACAGTGACTCCAGAGCGTCTATTTTTCTCTTACGTTCAGGAGATCCCAGTTCAGGAGAATATTTTCTTAGTTATCATTGGTCAACCAAGGTTTGACACACGGCCACGCTAACACACGCACGGACAGGACGGAACCATGAGTGGTCTTTTCCCTTTCAGGAAAAGATGAAAATTGTCACTAAAATATTAGCCCTGCCCTCAATTTTGCACAGACAGGAAGAAAAACGCTCCCCTGACACATGTACGGGGATTATCCTTCACGATGGACGTGCGATCCCATCAGCAACCGTGTATGACTCGAACATGAAAACCTTGAAGGAACACTCGAAATCACGTCTAATCACCTTTGTATCGTTATAACTGCACTCAAAATAAAACTTTCTCATGAGATCCGATCTGGCGTCTTCATCTATATGCGTTTCAATCAAGGTTCATAATGATCCATTCGTCCTCATCTATGATCGCGATTTGCTCTTAGTTCTGCGCGTTACATCATGCCATCATCAAATGTCTTCCATCAGAATCGATTACTGGAATGCCAGTAATTGCGAAGGGCGGCATGGTCTTCGTGGACAAAAATAATTAATTGTCGAACAGAGCACAACACAAACTGTGAATACTATTTTTTTTTAACTGCAACTCATGAGCATGCATTTTTTTAAACCCTTAATGAACATCAAAGTTACTGTTGAAGGTTAAAACTGTTTAAATTAAAAAGAATGACTGGGTTTCCATGCGCGGAAATTCCAGGGCAAGTTGATATTGATATATTAAGTAATACATTTTTTCCGACGCAAGCATATCAATCCACGGGACCTGGACTACGGCTCTCTGGACATTTTTTCGTGCCACAAGAGCTGTGGCTCTCCGAATGCGACAGGCCGATCGGAGGACGCATTCATGTTGTCACGATATGGCCAAACGATATTCCATAATCGTATACCCATAAGCTTCATGCAAGACTAGTAGGTAGCCCATGCAAAAGCACGGATGTATTTAAAGGCGTAAAATGCGCACATGGCCTTTGGAGGCGGCCGCCACACTCCCGTCCCCCTACCCCCAGGGCATGTCCATGTGAGAAGACAAGACGCGGCAAAAGCAGCCCTAATTTCTCGGTCTGCTCCTGAGCTTCGTTAATCGCTGTGGCAAAGGACGGGGAACCGACGCCGAAGGAAGACGAAGGGTCACGGATCAAGGAGTTACCTTAAATTTTCGCCTCGTAAGACAATGCGGTTTGTGGGCTTTTATTTGCGAACTCACGCTACTCACATCGCAACCCACCATGCACGTTTCCGAACCTAAATGGCCCCAAACCACGCTTACAATGGCTATGGGAGAGTCACAATGGTTATTGGAGAGTCACAGAGCCAAGAAATAACTGGAGATGGCGCACCACTAGAAACAGTATAGGCACACGCGCTCCAATTGGAAGCCATGATTTTTTTGGCTCATGGCGCCTAGTCACGATTCACTTTCATATGATTTTCCCCGATTTTTCAACCCAACTTCCTTCTAAATACTAACTCTAAGGAAAACGGCCCCGACACAGCAGGCACAATAGGTTCTCAGAGGAAACAATTGTCCCTATTGGGTCCATTGTTTCCTCTCGGAACGTATTTCACTTCGTGAAACGAACTTAAGTTAGTTTGACGTTCGTTTCACCGCACTACGTAGCAGCCATTCGGACATTATACGTATTACCAAGACTTGGGGGAGGGGGCTCTCTTCAAGGGCGAATTCACTTTTAATGAATAGCACTCTTGTACATGATTGATCGTGACCCCGTTCGTGTCGTCCCCAAAGTCCATCTCTACCATTTTTCATGTAAGTCTTAGAGTGAAAAATACGGAAAGAGAAACGAGATGGTTACAACGCCGCCGATGTCGTCTTTCCTATCCAAGAGTATTCTTGGATAATATTTCTCGTCCGCCGCGTCTTTAATAAAACCCTGAATGAGACGCGGAGGCATTTAGGCGAGATCAGACTCCAGCCTCCGCAATCTCGAAAAACGTTGCACGGCCGACCTTCTCTAGAACCGCCGAATGAGGGGGAGGTGGTAGTATGGAGAAAGGAGGGCGACGGGCGTCGTTGCTCTCATTCGTCGTTGTCGCTGTTCCTCCTTCTCGCCCGACGCCTCTTTAATTCTTGAGTTCTAGGAGTCGCGACCGCTCTTGGAACCGCGCGATCCGAGGATCGGGCAGCCTGTCCTCTTCGAACCCGGTGCCCCCTTCCTCCGTTGTGCAGACGCCTCGCAAACATTAAGAAGCGTTTGCGACCCCGACGTCCTGATAGCCTGTCATCTGTTCGGTGGCTTTACCGTGGTCGATCCGCGGAGCGGTCTGACGTCCCTCTTTGCAACGAGAGAGGGAAAGCTGCGCTGGACGAACTCGAGCCTCATGTCTTAAATTTACGGATCGAGGCCGTTAAACTTCTTTCGAAACGCGTGTCTCTTGGCGGGCACCGACTATTCCCCGCCCGTCTGAGGCACGGGAACGGTGATAGTAGTACTCGACGCTCGCAACGCAGGATCTGGCGTGGGAGCTTCAAGGGGTCTTGAATGTGATGGGAGTCATCTCGGACTGTAACCTGGAAACCTCTCGTTGCGTCTCCTTGATGCCGTCGCTCGGAAAAGATCTCAAATTCGACCGAGTCCGCGCCGAGACGTCTCTGCAGACCCTCATGGGGGTTGCAGAGGACACGGTGCGATACTACACGATGGATCGGGTCGACGCGACTCCCACCCTTCCGCCCTGCGCCCTCGAAGCAGGGTCGAGGTTGAACGGATTTGCCAAGACGGTGAAGTTTGTTTATTTTCTTCCAGAACCCAACAAAAGAAATGCCTGCTTCATTCCACCTGCTCGCAACACGGGCGACGTCCGCGGGTTTGCTGAGGGAAAGGACAAAGTCTGCGCCGGTTTGCTTGAAGTCAAGCAGGGGGCAGTTGGGAAACGCGCATCGAGAAGGCGAGAGCAAAGGCGAGTTTTTGCTGGTACTTAGGCGGAAAGGATTGAATGAATAATGGGTTCGCGAAGAAATTGATGTTTCCTTGAGCAGGGTTAGTTGAGTTAGTGGGTGTGGGGATTGAGTGCACGGAGGAGTTGCCTGGGGTCGTGGGGGGTGTTTTGGAATGGACAGGAGAAGCCTGCCGCCCGGAGCGAGGTGAGGGGTTGGAGTAAACGGAAGGAGGTGGGGGAGAGGTCTTCTTCCGGGTCCTCTTTTTCGCCGACATGGTGCCGTACGAAAAAAAAGGGAGATGTTAATATAGGGGCAGGAGTGCAGATGCAGGAGGATATTGGCGAGAATGCAGGAGAGGGGAGTAAAGCGTAAGAAAAGCAAAGGTCCTTAAGAGGTAATTAATAAATCAGGTGCAGTATAGGAGAGAGGGATATGTCTTAACAAAGACAATTTACTGGTTGCCGGGACAAATAGACCCGGCAGAAGGAGTGAGGGATTGACTTGACCGAAAAAAAGCACGGTGAGGACAAGTTAGAGCCTGGGAGTGGACTCTAACTGAGGATCTTCAATTTCGCTTCTCGCGCTTCCCGAGTGTCCTCGCTGGGATCGGCTTGCGAACGGTCGCGATGCGATCGTTTGTCACGACCTCAGATCCCTCCGAACGCCGAACTAGACTGCGGGCGTTACCTTAATCTCTCGTGATGTAGGTTTACTAAAAGGTCTCTATATACATTTTACTCTGAGATAAATGATTAGATTTTAATTCCTTGCACTTCTAATATCGACAAACGGCTTGTTAGAGACATCTAGCGACTGAAAGTTAACTACATGTCAGGGATCGATCACCCTGGCGGGGTCTTATGCAAAATGAGCCAAAGAGGCACTCCTCATGGCAACTGCGGCATCTTTGAGCGCAAGGTTCCTGTAACGCCTCCTTGTAATTGCAGCTACCTGTGTCATACCAATTCCGCTATATTATGTAATGAAGTGCGAAAGTTCATTCATAATTGCCCTGAATCCTTGATTCCCACCAAATTTTTAGGCCCGAAGTCTTCTTTCCTTGCATTTGGGGAGTGACGCAACACCCGCCCAATTTAGCAATTTTTAACAACTACTGATTGAAATTTCGAGGATTTGTCAAGCATGGAAAGGGGTTATGCTGAATTTTATGAAATTGCGCTGGGTCAAAATTCTCGGTCATATCATTCATTTCAGTAAAATGATATTGAGATTCTTTAGATTCCTTTCTGAAAACAGGAAAATGAAGTTTTACGCTTGGCTCAAATATCTGTCTCATGGGTCTGGGTGTCCGGAATACTGCAGAATTTTGTTTCATAATGGCGAGGGTACTTAGATACGATGGCAAATGCTCATGCATACTTCCTCTGTCTCATTCCGAAGGCATTATTCGGCATTGGAATAGACAGGATGGCCCAAAAGTCAGGAATAGAAATTTCACGTTTCTGCTGTAAATCCTCGAACTGATCATCATTTACATGGAAACGCTTTTCGATCCGTTTTTACACAGGATCGGGGTCGTACTGGCTGTCCAGGGCCCCCAGGAAATTGCCGACAAGGACCCCCGCGCACATTCCCCCCTGCGGGAGAGGGAAGGGGAGTCCAACCAAGCCCAATCGTTTGGCGTCCGAGAAATCACCGACTGTTCCTCGGGGTCTTTTACTTGGACCAATTCACTTTTTAGTTTACTTTGTCATCTCCACGCACTCTTCGAATGCTCACAGACTCTTCACCCTCGACTAACGCATGGGCCATGGGACCCACTATTTTATTTAAACCTGTTTTTTTTGGGCTCCACTGACGCATGGGCCATGGGACCCACTATTTTATTTTAACCTGTGTTTTTGGGCTCAAATTCGGACCGCTGCAAAAATGAATGAACGCGGGGAAGCAGAATACTGAGTCACACGATCACGTGAGCGATAGGATCGGAAGGGGACTCCTTTCGAGTTGCCCTCGACGCCCCAACCGTGCCACGAGAGTGACAATTTCCCGACGATGTTACAACGCACATTAGCGATCGAGGACGATTCACGATGGACCACACTCCAACGAAGCAAAAATATTTCTCCTTTTTTCTCACCTCGACGCACGCCTTCCCCTTTCGCTATGTTGAACTTACTCCATGTTTCTTATTATTCATTTTAATGTACGAAGAACCGATTAGAAGATGTCAGTCACTGCAGAATCTCCAGCCGTCCAGCCCAAGAAAGGACTGCTTGCCTCCGACCCACGAAACCCCAGGAACAGTTTCATTTGTCATACTTGGATCTTCTTCCTTTCCCTTCCTCTCCCCAAGAACAGGATCGATGCAAGAGACAGGCAGGGGCTCCACAGCTTTCGACAGGTCGTTAGAAATGTGATTCCATCGATGCCTCGTGCCACCTGGTCTTTTCTTCGCCTGGGTCCACTATACGTGCCGTCTCTCGTCGTCCACTTCGGACCATTCATCATGCACTTCCTCACCCCACTGCTTTTGTCATGGCTTTCCACTCATGAAAAAACCATGCCCTCGGGAGCAGGCATGATCAAGGATGGAACTCCTTCGAACGCAGACACGAAGTCACGCAATGCCTAAGGTAAAATATGGGAATCGCCCCACGGTTCACGCCTCTGTTTCGTCTTCGCCTCGGGTCCGTCCTATTTTAAATTCGTCCTCGGGGCAATCCGGAGGATCGAACCTTCCGGTTTTCCGAGTCGGTTAAAAAGCCGTCTCTCACTTTCCTTATTCCTTCACAGAGTTCGGTGATGCAACCTCACAGACCCCCCCTATGGTTACATAACTGCACCTCCAAACCGATCGCATGACTGTACTGCGGACTTCTTCCTGCTTTTCCCTCCTATCTTCATTTCCAGTCCCATCTCCTCATCCTCCTACCTTCTTTTCACCTTCCTTAATCTACCCCTTTATTGCGTATTTTACTTGTTTTTATTTATCTTGGTTTTTTCTTTACCGGTTCCTATTGCGTCTGACTCATCGTGAGCACATTTCTTCGTTTTTTTTTAAAATTATTATCTCCCTTTCCTGCTCGTTCATGAAGGGATTTCCCTACATACGTATACCCGATCACCTTGACAGATGTGACGAGCCTCGCGACCTTGAAGGAGTGCGGAGAAACACGCCTTGATACCATCTGCGTTACAGCCTCTCTGACCAGTTGCGTCATAACTCGCTCTTCTGGTGCTAGTGGCCTCCGTGTCGACCTTTCCGTGCAGTGCCGACTCCAGTTAAAACGGCTCAGACATCGTGATCGATCCCGCTCGAACCATGGTGGGAACGGAACGCGGCGACGGGAAACGATCCAAAACCGAGAATCAGTATCGCTTCCTTGCCAAAAGCCATGCCCTCAACTCCAGAGAGCAGAATGGCCTCTGCGACGTCATCATCCAGGTGCAAGACGTCTCGTTTTACGGGAGCCGTTTCATTCTGGGCTCCGCGTCACCCGTACTCAAATGCATGTTCCTCGCCGACATGAAAGAATCTCAGAGCAAGACGGTTCCCTTGAAAGGAGTGTCTGTGGAAGGATTCCAAGTCATCTGGGACTTCCTCTACGCCGACAGATACGGGACCGAAGACGAGGACGTCGCCCTGGCCGTCCTCATGGACTCGCACCATCTCCAGATCGACATCCTCTGTGAGGAATACACCGAAAAATTGAAGAAGATGCTTCGACCCTCGAATGCTTTTGTCTTCCTCTGCGTCGCCGAGAAGCTCAAGCTGAATGCACTGCAAAATGCAGCATTGGACTCGATTGCTCGGAGGTTCCAAGAAATCATCCCCACCTCGGACTTCCTCTCCATGTCGCTGGAGACGTTGCAGATGTTTCTGGAAAGGGACGACTTGGAAGTCTCTTCGGAAGTGGAAATCTACGAAGCCGTGAAGAAATGGCTTCGTCACGACCCTTCGAGAACGACGCATCTCCCGAAACTTTTGAACCACGTGAGACTTCCCCTATTGCCCTTGCGTTATCTTCATCAGGACGTATTGCACGATCCTCTGGTTTCGGGGGATCCCTACTGTCTGTCTCTCGTGTTGGAGGCGAAGGATTTTCACGTTCCGCAACTGAGAGACACTGTCCCCGTTTGCCCTTGCGTTATCTTCATCAGGATGTATTGCACGATCCTCTGGTTTCTGGGGATCCCTACTGTCTGTCTCTCGTGTTGGAGGCGAAGGATTTTCACGTTCCGCAACTGAGAGACACTGTCCCCGTGGAAAAGACCAGGACGAGGGGCACGGGCTTCTATCCCCACCCCGACACGTTCTGGTGCGTGGGAAGAAACGAATCCGGAGCCAAGATCCTGTCATTGAGCCCTCGGAACTGGTCCTTCCAAGTCCTCGCCTACTATCCGTGGCCCGACGACAACTTTAAGAGGGCTTTCGTAGCGATAGATAGGAAGCTCTTCGTCACAGGTCTGGGAGACACGAAAATTTTCTACCTGGCAAAGAGAGCGTGGGAATCGGGGCCTGCGCCACTCGAGCACGTCCTATGGCCCACATCGGCGACTAGACTCGACTCCATCTTCGTCTGTGGAGGAGGATTCGGAGAAAAGGAATGCAAGAAGTACTCAAAGTCCGTGAACCGATTCGAACTGGGATCGTGGAAATGGATTCATGGACCGGACATGAAATACGAGCGTCATGCGGCCTCTGCCACCTTCCTCGACTCCAGTCTTCACATCATCGGCGGCTATCCGAACTGGAAGAAGCACGAACGGCTGGACACCAGGAACAAGACGTGGAACGAGCTCTGTCAATGGCCAGGAGAGTTGAACTGCCCTTGCGTCACCGTCCACAACGACGAGATCCATGTGGCCGGCGGTGGTACCGGCTGCGACCTCAAGCTCGCCGACGTGTACGTGTACGACGCGAGGAAGAACGATTGGCTTGCTCTCCCTCCCATGAAGGAGAAACGATGGAAGCACGGACTCATCTCCTTCGAGGGGAACCTCTACGCCGTCGGCGGAGGGAAATCTCCTTCGGTGGAAGTGTACGATCGAACCGAATGGAAAGTGGTGGCACGGCTGGACGTAGAGACGTGCGAGAGAGCTTGCTTCATGCAATGGACGAATGGATGCAGTTGGTAAAAGTATTGACTACTGCACATCCTGTAACGTGAGATCGGCGACGTTGTTCTCTTTCATTTTTTGATTGAAACCATTTAATTGGTATATATATTATTTAAATAATTATTGGTTCTTCCAA